TCAACAACAAAAACCACATAAATTTTTTTATTAAAATTTTTAACTTACATTCAATCAATAAGGATGTATCATAATTTAAAGTTGAAATTTAAATTAGTTTTAAATTCAAACTAAATTTTAAATCAAAGATGTACAAAAATACCCCCAAAATAACAAATTAAATGTTAATTTCGGTTAAAAAAACCTAATGGAGGGAACTTTTTTATTAACATTTCACTCTTCAGGTGAATGGACTTTATGTTTTAAAGATTGACCAACAAAGTTTAACAAGAGGTATAGTTCAGGAGAATTTTTATAATTAATCCTTTTCTTTTCGTTCTCTTATTTTCTTGTTGCTCTTCATTATTTTCTTTTCCCTCTATCTTATCTAACTTATTTTTCCCTATAATTCTTTTCCATTTTTTTCCCCTCTCTCTTTTCAATGGCTTAATGATAATGGCAATAAACCTTCCTCCAATGGAGATGAAGATGAAAACGTTAAACCAAGGAGGAAAACACAAAATGAAAAGAAAAAACCTCAAGGCAGCATTTAAAAAATTAATAGAATAAAAACAAAATGAAATGGAAAAACCTTAAGAGTTTGCCGTCCATCTAAAAGTTTTATCATAAAAGGAGCTGATCCTCCTGTTACCTACACCAAAAGAAAGAAATGGTGCTTAAAGAACAGTTATATTGTATACGTTAAAAAATAGTTATATTGTATGAGTTCAATAAAAACCTACATCGAACTTGAAGTATTTCAGCTAAAGACATCATTCCCCTTTGTTTTCTTGAAGTGCAACTAACACAGTAACAAACATGTACGAAAAAATACACATTTTCATTATGCTCTAAGGTTATGTTATGATTGAGTGCCACAAGTAGCTTGAAGCAACTTGGCCTCAATTTCATCCTTAGCAACAGACTGGTGTTTCATTGACAACATCTCCTAAAACCCTCCTACCATTTCCAATGATTTGCAAAGATTGAAGCATAACTAAAGCGGACTAAATGTTTTAGACATAGAAAGACGACAAAAAATAATTGTTACAAAAATTATAAACACTTACAGGAGAAAGGTTATCAATATTCAATTTAGCATAACCAACATGACTATTCTTCTTTTTCTCTCTCTTTTCTCTTTCTAATAGTTCTCTCTCTTTTCCTTCTTAAGTTTTTTTTTGTCTTTTTTTTCTTTGTATTTTCTTTTTGCCATTCTTTTCTTCTATGTTGGCTTCTTGAATAAGAACTTGATAAATTTCCTATATTTAAAATGAGATGAGAATATCAAATTCAACATTTAAATAGAACTAAAGAATGCACATTGAACAACAAATCCAAAATTCCTATTTGGTACATAAAGAGTAAATAAAGCCAAGTGAAAGAAAGATATAGGTTCCAACGGGAATTCCATGTAATCCAAACTCGATATTTAAATACCCCAACCACTTGGTTTTATGTATTTCAACTTCCACTATTTGTATGGATAGTAAATATAACTCATGACATGAAGAACAATAAATTATGTATCATTGCCTTTCCTTTTTTTCTGTCTTGTTTTTTCTTTTCCTTTTCTTCCTTTCTTTTTCTTATTTTTTTCCTTGTCTTTTGGTTAGCTACTTAGCTTTAGGAAGAACCCCTAGAAGGCACATCAACTCATTGGGTATACAAAATTGGTTCAAACTCATATAAGATGCAATAAGGAATAAGAGACGAACCATGTTTACCTAACATTTTCCACCACCAACAGCCATCATAAATATCTCGCTACCACCAACTAGAGAACATGCATTTGTCAAAGCATAAAGGAAGCTTATCAAAATCTGTGACAGAGAAGAGAAGCAACATTTTAATGAGAGAGATACTACATCCAAAAAGTTTAATTTGATAGCTAAAAGAAATTAGTAACAATTAAACCATCGAGTTGATATATACACAGTACTAGAGAAATACTACAAGTCTACAGCCACATAGTTTGATTTTCACCATATCTGTCAAATGTACCTTGTACAATGCTGGACAGGCATCTTCTCTCTCTGTCTACCTTCCTTTTAACTTCTGTTGCAATCAAATTTTCTTTTAAGATTCAAAACCTTCTTCTTTCTACATTTCACGTTCCACTTTCTGGATCCATTTCTCAACCTGAACCATATACCATGTTTTTTATAACCATTTTCCAGTAACTATTATGCACAAAAAAAAAAAAAAAAAAAACCGCAATATCTAGCTCAGTTTAGCAATCCCCTTTTCAAGAACCACTTTTAGCCCATGTTAGTCGTACTAAAAGAACATCTAAAAGGAGGGAAATAAAACAGTCCTTACCTGGAAATTTTCTATGATTAGGATCCAATAAATCTGTAATTTGCTCGTTGTAAATCTGAAAAATCAGTTAATGAGTTAATGGAAGAAAAAACACAGTTAAATAGTCCAATCAACATTATTGATTTGCTCCTGCAGAGAGAAGTTCCATAGAGGGCTTGCAGCAGATGGATACAAAATTCAATGCGTAGAACGTAAGAAAGACAAAACAAAGTTACCTCATTTATCCAAGCAAAAAGACGCTCAAAAATTCTAGGAGTTAAACCTTGTTGATCACTCGATATGTTTTAATCCAAAAATGAGTTGGTTGGACCCCACATCGTATAAGTCTTTCCACTTCCCACCTAGCAACAATCATTTTTGCATATGTTACATATAATAGTTGGGACACGTGCTCCAAACTTCTTCTTCTAAATTGTATATGTATTTTAAGTATAGCTTGTTTCTCGCTTGTTTAGAAGGATGAGTTTTTTTATTTTAAAAAAAAAAGATTTGGTGACGTGTGGTAAACTGTGTACAGCTTGGAAAATAGCCTGGAAAACTGTGTGAAGCTAGATAATATTTTAGGAAATTAGTTTGACAGATTGTATCCTTAGAATTAGTGATAGTTTCCTAATTTGTTACTTTCCTAAATTGTTAGGATACAGACATAGAAGGTGTTTGGTATGAGAATTCGTGTCATGGTTCGTGGCTCGCTACAGTGTTTTTTCTCACAAAAAATTCACGTAAACCGAGAAGTGTCCTGAATCATAGTTCTGAATTCGTGAACCAAACGTGCACTTAATGTTAGGGGTGCTATATATATGTATGTTGCCGTGTAAACATTCGATATAATAGAAAAACAAGGTTTTTCATCTTCAATTCACCAAGTCAGTTGAACATGATCAAAGGCAGTTTATCTTCATCCTTGATATCAGAGTGTGTCTTATCCAATAAAGAAAAAAAATTTCTCCATCATTGTTGACTTGGACATCCATCGTTTAAAGTTACTAATATTATGTTTCCTTCTTTGTTTAAAAATTTAGCTGTTGAAAGATTCCAATGTGAAGTGTGTCAACTTGCTAAGCACAAGCGTGTACCTTTTCAAATTAGTAATAAAAGAAGTTCCTTTCCTTTTTATCTTGTTCACAGTGATATTTGGGGTCCATATATGGTTTCTAACGTTTCTAGGACAAGATGGTTTGTTTCTTTCGTCTGATGTTAGTAATGTATTCCCTAATTTTCATTCTATGGTCAAAAATCAATTTGGGGTCTCAATTAAAAGGTTTAGGTCAGATAATGCCAGGGACTATTTCAATCAAACTCTTACCCCATTCTTTCAGAAAGAGGGAATAGTACACGAATCGTCATGTGTCATGTGTCAGTACTCCACAACAAAATGGAGTAGCAAAGAGAAAAAATGGTGATCTTCTTGAAAAAACTCGAGCCTTGTTGTTTCAAAAAAATGTGTCAAAGGCTTTTTGGGGGGAAGCAGTCCTTACAGCCACTTATCTGATAAATCGTTTGCCTTCAAGAATCTGGGATTCTAGAAGTCCCATGGACATACTCATCATTTTACCTGAACCTGAAGACTACAAATAATCTTGTCCTTAGGATTCCATGTTCACAGTCAAAGTAGGGCAAAATTAGATCCAAGGGCTCTAAAATGTGTTTTTATGGGATATTCTTCAACTCATAAATGATATAAGTGCTATCATATCCCCCATCAAAGAAATTCTATGTCTCGATGGATGTCATGTTCGATGAACAAAAGTCTTATCTCTAATCCTTATCCTCAGGGAGAGAGTTCATTGAAAGAGGATAAGGAAGGTTTTTTGCTTGCTATGTCATCAATTCACAAGTCAAACAGTTCCACTCATGTTCCTTCTGCTACACCTGGTCCATCTTGTTCCACCCATGTTCCTGAACCCGTACTTGAAACACCAAATGAACCACAAGAAAAACCCGATTCTGCCCTGGAAAATGTGAGATTTGGTAAAGGCAACGTGTTCACAAGAAGGACGAGGGCTGTTCCGAAACCTATGCAGGTCCAAGAATCCAACTCAAACCCTTCGAATGAGGTAACTATTTCTGACCATTTTTTACAAGATAAAACTAAATTGCATGTGGATAATGATGACTAGGACCTTCCAATTGCCATTAGGAAAGGAACTAGAGAGTGTACAAAGCAACCTTTATACCCTCTTGCACATTTCCTATCCTTTAATAATTTTCTGCCATCTCATAGAGCCTTTGCTGTAAGCCTAAATACCATCACCATTCCAACCACCTTGTCCGAGGCTTTATCTAACGAAAAATGGAAACAAGCTATGAATGTGGAAATGGAGGCGTTGGAAAAGAACAAAACTTGGGAGTTGGTGAAGTTATCGGAAGGAAAAAGACCAGTGGGTTGTAAATGGGTGTATACTGTGAAGTATAGAGTAGATCGGTCGATTGAGAGGTACAAGGCGCGGTTAGTAGCCAAGGGGTATACTCAAACTTATGGGATCGATTATCTAGAGACTTTTGCCCCTGTGGCAAAGATGAACATAATACGAGTATTGTTATCACTAGCAGCAAATTATGGTTTATGAGTTGCAGCAGTTTGATGTCAAAAATGCCTTTCTACATGGGGAACTAGAGGAAGAGATTTAGATGGAGGTTCCACCAGGATGGGAAGAATTTGACTGCTCATACCGTGTGTAGATTGAAGAAGGCACTGTATGGCCTTAAGCAGTCACCACGGGCATGGTTTGGGAGATTTGCAAAAGTTATGTTGGCTACGGGATACAAACAAAGCCACGGGGATCATACATTGTTCATTAAGCATTCTCCTTCAGGGGGGAGTTGCAGCTCTTTTGGTGTACGTTGATGACATAATATTGACAAGAGATGATGTTAGGGAGAAACAAGTCTTGAGTCAGCATTTGGCGAAGGAATTTGAGATTAAAGCATTACGAAGGTTGAAGTACTTTCTCGAGATTGAAGTTGCTCACTCGAAGCAGGGAATCTTCTTTTCTCAACAGAAGTATGTTACGGATCTTCTCAAGGAGACTGGCAAGACAACATGCAAACAAGCGAGTACTCCTACAGATTTGAATTTCAAACTTGGGAAAGAAGAGGAGGATGCCGCAGTGAATAGAGAAATGTATCAACATTTAGTGGGAAGACTCATTTACTTGTCTCTCACACACGACCAGATATCGCATATGCAGTGAGTGTGATTAGCCAGTTTATGCATAGTACAAAGGAAGTCCATCTGCAAGCAACCTATAGAGTTCTACAGTACCTCAAAGGAACGCCGAGAAAAGGTATTTTGTTCAAAAGGAATTGGGGAATCTCGTAACATGGAAAAGTAAAAAACAAAGCGTAGTAGCCCGATCGAGTGCCGAGGCTGAGTTCCGAGTCCTAGCTTAAGGAGTGTGTGAACTACTTTGGCTGAAGATTATCTTTAAAGATTTGAAGATCAAGTGGGACAGCCCTATGAGACTATTGTGACAACAAATCTGCGATCAACATAGCTCACAACCCAGTACAATAGAACCAGACCAAGCACATTGAAATCGACACACTTTATCAAGCAGAAGTTAGAAAGTGGACTAATTTGTACGCCTTAAGTGTCTACATGTGGTCAACTCGATGATGTTCTTACCAAAGGATTGAGTAGTTCAATTTTTCAGAAGATTGTGTCCAAGCTGGGAATGGAAAATGCCTACTCACCAACCTAAGGGGGAGTGTGGAAAAACTGAGTACAGCTTGGAAAACAGCCTGGAAAATCGTGTACAGCTAGATAGTATTTTAGGAAATTAATTTGACAGATCATATCCTTAGAATTAGTGATAGTTTCCTAATTTGTTACTTTCCTAAATTGTTAGGATACAGACTTAATGTTAGTGGTGCTGTATATATGTATGTTGCCGTGTAAACATTCAATATAATAGAAAAACAGGGTTTTTCATCTTCAATTCACCACATGACGTATTATATGAAAGATTTGATGAATGAGGTTGTATTGCTCTGAAATAAATTAAGAGAAATGAAGTTGAAGGGCTATATATAGTTCTAAAGCAATTAGAATAAGGACTACAAAAGGTTTAACAAAATGTTAGCAATAATGAGGTTGAAACAAAGAAGAAAAAGCATATTAGTAGTGTTCAACATCCACAGGGAACATGCAAAACGAGATCATACTAAGGAACATTTCCCTTGATTGTTTGTTGACGAGTGTAAATCTGCACTAAGCTGTAACCATTGGAAGGAAATGAATTATCAAAAGGAGAAACATAATCAAGAAATGTTCAAACTTGAGCGGATGTGATATGACACAAGCTGAGATGCTATTGTGTCTACTGTAACAAGGCATTGGATCTAGGCTCTACTATTCTAGGGTAATTTCGGCAGACGTAGAGGTTACATCTAAAGAAGAAAAATAATGTGCTATTAACATACAAACTATTGGAGATTGTTGATAGTTCTATCACATTCATACCAAGCAATCACATGCAGCCTGAATGCTTGTTCCCAAAAATAAATAAATAAATAAAATGACAGGGGTTCAAAATCAATCACATGTAGGATTTACGGGCTTAGTATCAACAGCTATCATCCGATCTTGAGTTCTAGAACTCCCTACATGAAGTCATTGTACATCAGAGATCATCAAGCGTAACAAATCTAGCTATGATTATTATTCATCATTCCAAACATTTACACACACATCTATGTGTGTGTGTGTGCAGCAACTAAATTCATTACCTCTGATATGAAAGATGTGTCGAAGCAAGCAGTATGGGTAGGATGAAACACAAGCATAAATACTGGCACCTTATTACCACCAACAAGGACATATTTACATGATCACACATATTAGGAATCACATAACAGAAATATGAATGGAACAATTAATGGAGGACATTTGTAATCATATGACTATGCTATTTATCATAGCAACTATGTTGAGTTGTGATCTATCAGACATTATACCCAACAGGTTACAGGCAACTATAGAAATGCTTGCCAACATTTGATCATAAGAGTGATGTTTTCTTAATGGAATTGATACCCTTCTTTCTTAGAATGGATATAACACTCCAGCAACAAGGACAAATTTACCAAACAGGTTACAGGCAACTAAGAAATGCTTGCCAACAGTTGATCATAAGATTGATGTTTTCTTAATGGAACTAACACCCTTTCTCTCTAAGAATGGATATAACACACTAGCAACAACAATATCCGGTGTTTATATCTCACAAAGTTACCCATTACACAAGAGATTCGCAGGTATGCAAGTGCACATATATGTTTCAAATAATTAAAATGAAAGCAGATGGAACAGACAACAACCACTCTGGTAATGGTTGCAAAAATTGATGGCTCTTTGTTCATCCAAATGCATAGAAGGAGAGCACAAACAAAAGGCGGAGAGAGTTGAAACAAAAGGATAGAGAAAAAAGCCAAAGGAGAAAAGACTAGGAAAGAGAGGGGGCGGGAGGCAACCTTAGAAAGAAAAGAGAAAAAATAAAAACCAAAACCAAAAAAAAAAAAAAAAGGAGCACAAAAGGAATGAACCTAGTTCTCAAACAGTGACTAAAAAGAACCTAGATTTATAATAGAATAACCATAACCATTATTTCCATATTTATTGCAATGTTCCCTTCAATACTAAGTTGTTAAATAGTAAGATTCCGGCAGGAAAAAAACTCACATAATTTTGGGGATTAACCGAGTAAGATCTTACTTGATAAATTAGAAGAGAGAGTGAGAGACAAGAAAACTCACCATAGTTGAATGGACCCTCAAGTGTGGTAGAAGGAGCTAAGGCCCGTTCATGACTCAGCCTAATCAGCACCCAAAGCTAACAAAAAAAACTTGGATTACCAAAGTCCCTATATCAGTATACCCACAAGAGAGAGAAAAAAAAACAAAAATAAAACCCAAAATTTCAGTTTATCCCACAAAACAAAACTATCCCCCCAGTATTTTAAAAAGTCCTTTGTTTCCTTCCTCGCCAAATACCTCAAAAGATTGATAGTATAGCAACTTCCGAAAGACTTATGCCCCTAGGACTAAAATTAGAAGGATCCAGGAACCACTCAAATCAATTCCCTCCCTGCAGCTCCTAGGCAAGGCTCAAGAGATTCCTAACTCTTTCAGCAAAAGCAACCATATATAGAATGAATAATGGTAATGTTACGAGGAAATAACAAGATCGCATTTTATGAACAAACCACTTTGACCTACAAAAACTCATAAAAAGATGCCACATTATCACAAGTCAGAGAAGCAAATAATAAAATAAAATAGTTCAAATATTAGAGAGAGAGAGAAAGAGACATATCATCCTTTTTTAAGGGGGGTGGAGTTCCAAGGGAAGCAAGCAAGAACCAGTCGTGAAGAGGCTCTAAGGAGAGCCTTTGTTAGAGACAAAGACACTAAACATACAGAGTCAAACCCTCACCACACTTTTCTCACTTAACTTGAAAAGTACCAACTCAAATTCGATACCAGCAATCCCACCAAGCCTCTCCTTTAATACGTTGAAACAGCATCAGCAGCGTCACAATTAAGAAATATAACGACACCTTGAAAAGCAAAGAATGCAATATAGAAAGTAGAAAAATAAAACCATCAAAAGGAAACAACCTGAAGATTAAAGATATAACAATCAATCAAATAAAGTTTTTATAAAGATAAAAGAGGACAACGACTTTCACCTAAAACAGGCTAACGACAAAGAAAAGGTAAAGAAAAATAAATAAATAAAGGAAATAACAAGACAAATGTATGCAAATCAAATGTCAAAATAAATGTCCACGCTTTATGCTCTGAAAAATGGTTGCAAACAAGAGAATGTGTGGGCTAGAATAAATTAAGAGCAACAATGTGCATAGAATCCTAATGGAGAAGGATGCGAAAATGATAAAAGAAGGATTTTAGCGTAATTGAAAATTAGGACTTCGGGAATAAGCATTTTACCTGCTAAGAAGTAGATGGCGTACTTTTGGTGAATGTTGGTCAGAGTGCTGCAATCGAACAAAGCTAGTGAATGGCAAAAGAAATTTTCACTTTCACAACATAAAAGATCTAAATCACAAATCAAAAATTGTGGCTAAAATTTGTCAAAAATTAATCTCAGTTGCTATAAGAATCCCATCTTTTCTGTCCACAGATACAATTTATATAGTTTATGGTGTTATGCAACCCAAGTGCAAGAAACAACAAAACAAAGAAATTAAAAAAAAAAAAGAAATCTTTATGGAAGTAGTAGTCATGCATCATCCACAACACTTTCAAGTTTGAACCCAGAATCCACGTTCTCAAAAGGAAATTTTTTTTTCATGAAACAAAGATCTTGACGCTAAACATATCAAAATGATAAGAAATAGCCAAAAAAAAAAAAAAAGAGGAATACAAAATCCTAACCGAGAAGGAAAGCTTCTGAAATATGGCCAACTTAGAAATCAACTCGCACAGTTTCTGTAAAACACCCAGCAAATGAAGCGAGAGAGAGAGAGAGAGAGAGGTGAATTTACATCTGCATACAACCACTATCAAATTTAAAATCTGTATTCAGCAAGGGTTAATGAAATACACTAAAGAAATCAAGCAATGAATAATTAAATTGAAGGAAACAAAGAATAGAACAAACTAAGTTTACACAAAGCCTAGAACCGGAAGTAAGGTCTAATATTAATTAATGGACCCCAACATTATTATGAGAAGAAATAATTAAAATATATCGATAATCTGATAAACATTACTGATTAAACAACAATAATCTAATATATATATATAGCAGCAAAAAAGTCCAACAGATGATGGCTGGCTGCACCTAGCACAATTCCAGAACACAAGTGGAAACAGTGTGCGAGCCAGAACTCTCAGCATTGATGCTAGTTGCACCTGTCCGATTTGACAATCCCTGCATGTGTAATTTGTAGATGTACTTAGACAGACATAAACAAGTTAATTATGAAATATGGCTGGTCATCCATTCTCTCATTTGGTGTAGAAAGAAATTTCAATTAAAAAAAAAACAAACAGATAAAATAAATATTTCGAATAAAATAAAATTTGAAAAATGAGAAAAATTTGAGAGCAAAAGAAAAACTAAATTCGTTGATGCAAATCATAACATGCTAAAGAGTACACCCAATAAATAAGGAATAACTTCATCAGTAAGATATATTGCAAGCTAGATTGACAGAATACCATT